CCCCAAACCCCAAACCCTAAAGACCTAAACTTAAGGACCTCCTCGTCAGCATGCGCATGGCACTGCTCTGGCGACTCTCAGAGGATGCTCCCTTTCGCTTTACGGATGCCTCCTGGCAGCCACAGAAGAAAGAGGAACTTAGCACAGGGGTTTGTGGTTTGGTGTTTGGGGTTTAGGGTTTAGGGCTGCAGGGTTGAAGGTTCAGGTTTGGGTTCGGAAGTAACATCATCTACCCCGGAGGTGCATGTCAGAACGTGTGCTCTTCGCCGGAGTAATTCGCTCCAAATCCCAAGTCGTCTGCACCCACACTTCCAGCTTCGCCCCTGCATGCTCGGGTTGTGGCGGGCTTCGATTTCTGAACAGGAAGACAAGCTGCTGCCAGGTTCGGCAGATCTTGATGGCTGCGACGATGGGCATCCTACGTGTGCACCGACGCTTTGCAGGAAGGTGGCGGGCAATGGTCTTTGTCTCAAAAAAAGGTCACCTCTGAACATGTCGTCTCAGCCTGGCTTCTCCCTCCTCCTCAAGCACCGAGAGCCGAGGAAGCGCTTGGCAGAAACACTTCATCGACATCGAGGCGACAAAGGATTTAAAGGAGCATGCTTGCCAATGCTCCGCACGGGGGGGGGGGGGGCTTGCTGCGCCGATGGAGTGTCCTTCTGTTGATGCACCTACCCACATCTGCAGCGCATCGCAGAGCATGCAGCGTTACAGTCCTGCCTGTCGAAGCTGATCTGAGGCGAACGTCGTCGGTGGACGCAGAAACTTGGACTCCAGTGATGGTATGGCACGGACCATGCGCTACGATGCCGGTAGGACATCTGCCGGTTGCCGAATGCGCAACTGCATTCTTGGATGTGGTGGATGGATGGGAGTGGTGTGAGGAATGATGAAGCAGAACTTGTCACATTCCTGAGTCAGACTCGGCTTATGTGCCGCCAGAGGGTTCGTCTCTGTTACGATGGTTGACAGATGACCCCAGTGCTTCTCGTTGCTTTGCGTCCCTCGATCAGCGACTGTTTCTCCATGCGGGCATACACCAACCTCACCCAGCCCTACGATGGTTGGGTATCCTGCTGCTTTCTGTTGTGCGTAGAGCATCGGGCTTGCACTTTTGACCTTTCTGCAGATTGTATTGCTCAATGCTGAGGAGAGTTCACACTCGTTTCCGTGAACTCAGGAGATCCGCTCAAGGGTTACAGCCACGCCTTCTTCGATGTGGTAGGCAGGTCCTTGAAGATGGTAAGACGACGCACGGTCCTGCGGGCCTCCTCATCCCCCTCCTCCCCATAGGCACGAGCATCTGTACCACCATCAGTAAACCCTAAACCCTAAACCCTAAAACCTAATCCTCCCTAAACCCTACACCCTAAACCCTAGCCAATCGTCATCCCCATGGTCTTCCGTTCACATCCTCGACCACCAGCCTTCTGCTCCTCCTCCTCCTCCCGCCCTAGAGAATGGTGGCCTCCAATATATACAGTGATGTTCTAATGTCGGGAGAACAGGTCTGGGTCTCCGCATGCCTGCAGATGCGTACTGTAAGCCGGCTCCGCCTCTGTGTCTCAGTCCGCGATTCTCTTGGGGTATATTAATTTCATTCTCCGCGGTAGGGTCTTGTACAGACGCTCGCCTAGCACATAAATTCTTGAATTCACACCCAAACGCTGGTGTTCCTATGAGGCCATCCAGCGAAAACAGAATGCAGGAAACACTGAGGACTCAGCGCCTGCACCCTGAGATAACTACAAAAAATATCATGTATGAAATATAAAAACTCCACCCCCGGTGCAGAAATCTACAAGCTGGTAGTGTGCACTCGGGGGTGCAAAATCTGAGCTGTCAAGCCCATGCAGGGGACGTTGTCACATCCCACAGGTATCCTATCCATCCAGCAATCCTTCTTCAAAGGTATTCTGGATACACACTTTACGCATACAAGCTTGCCTGCGACACAGGACACGCTAAACAATTGCAGCGTTCGCAACTGACAGTCGTCTGAGTCGGCATGGAAGCATACCTGAGGCAGCAAGCTCCTTTAAAGCAGGTCCCAGGAGAGTAAACCGTAGCTGCCGGGACCCTCGAACATGTGCCACACGATCCATGCAGTGACGGCATGTGCAAAGATAGGGCACACACGAAAAGGAAACAGCAGTCCGACAGGAACTTTAAAAGAGGTATGGGCGTCTCCAAACATCAATCCCTGCAGGCAGCCGGGTAGTTGGACGCCCCCCCCAAGCTTCGGCTGAAATTGTGTCCAAACGTCCTACTCCATAGGCTACTGTGTAGTTGGATGCCCCAGGCTGTGGTTGACCCCAGCCGGATGCCCTCCAGGCTATGGTTGAACTCGTGTCCAAGTGTCAAACTCCGCAGTCTGTTGCGTAGTTGGATGCCCTTCAAGCTGTGGTGGAACTCTTATCCAAACGTCAAACACACATAGCCAGGCTGCCGGGTGGTTGGATGCCGCTTCAAGCTTAGATTCAAAGAGTCGCCAAGCATCAGACGCAGCAGGCTGCTGGCTAATTGCATGCCCTCCAACCCTTTGCTTGCAAAGGTTGCCAAATAAATGTCAAGCTCTGCAGGCTACTGGGTAGTTGAATGCCCTCCAGGCTCTGGTTGAAATGGCGACCAAACGTCAAAATCTGCAAGCTGCTGTGCAGTTGGGTCCTCTCCAAGCTCAGATAGCCTGATCTGACAAACGTTTGGTTCTGCAGGCTGCTGGGTAGCTTGATGCCCCCCAAGCGCTGGTTGAAACGGTGACCACACGGCAGACTTTGAAGGCTGCGAGGTAGTTTGATGCCTTTCAGGTTCCGGTTGAAAGCAAAGCCATATGTCAAACTCTGCAAGCTACTGGGTAGCTGGATGCTTTCCAGGCTCCGGTTGAACGCAGAGCCAAATCTCGAACTTTGCAGCCTGCTGGGCAGTTGGGTTTTCTCCAGGCTCTGGTTGAACTCGTCGCCAAAGTTGTCATACTCTGCAGGCTGCTGGGTAGTTGGACGTGCCGCAGTCCGCTAAACGGCCATGGCTGAGATACTGGGGCCTTCGAGATACCCGCTGTTGGGTCACTCGGGCCCTGGTATATTACTAGTAAGGATAAAAAGGTCACAGTAGTAGTGATCACGATATTACCAAGAATACGGATAGAAAAAAGCATCTTCAAACTCAAACTCAACCGTCCACTGGTATCTTCTCACACACTCGCACTCTAACACGTGCTGACGCACCCTTACACGGTCTCATTGACATTCGCGCACGCCAACTCCTCTCACTGTCCGTCTGAGCCTCGTTGTCACTAGCACGTTCAGTCTCAGTACCAGTCTCACCCAAACGCACTCACTCACTGACGCACTCTGCTTCGCTGACGTGCTCTCAGTTGCTTACTCACTCGCTCACTCATTCTTTTTTAAACCCATTTCTGTCGTGTATTCAAAGTTTTTACAGAATCTCTCGTTTCGCTCACATTTCCCTGTTCTCCTCTCTCTTCTCCCTTTTCTTTCTCTGCGCCTGTTCTCTCGGATTTTTTTGTCCCCATACCATGGGCGA